ATCTATTATATTGAAAAATTATTGCAGATCAAAGAATGGCAACCAATATTGTGTTAGATGATTTTCATTTCTTGCTCCGTACCGGATATAATGGTAAAGGTGGTCGATTAATACATATTGGGTGATTAATATGTGTAATTCGGAAAGAATGTGAAAAAGTTTTGTTGAATATCCCTTATGACATTACTAATAAAATAATAATGCATCTTCAATATAAATTCAAAGATATTCCATTGGCACCAATAGTAAGGTATCCGAATATCCCATCACGATTGGATTCAGAGTATGATATTATTAGCTAATGAGATAAATCAATTATCGTGTTTATTAGTACCTGTATTTTTAAAATATCCTTTTTTAAGCAATTCACTTTTGATATAGGGAAATAAATCACAATCGAACGGGATACAGATGAGATCTATACCCTCTCTTTTATATTTATCTCACTTTTTCTGGTCGCGCGTCTGTTGACTGTCTAGATCATTTTGATTTTTGTGGTATAAACTATTGCGATGATAATGTTGAACCCCATTAAATTTCCATGCCAATTTTAGTTCTTTATTATACCTGTCCAATTGCATCCCATTCAAAAACAACGGTTTACAAGATGGGAATTTCTTACTAAGCAGATCTTCGAAAATATATCTCGCGGATCGCTCCCCTTTAAAATGAGGACAAAGTGAGTACCACTCAAATTTTGTAGCTATCAATGAATAAGGGTACTCAAATTAATGTTTATCATTCTTGCATGACCAAAGATATACATTTTGATCATTAATTTGACCAGTTCTTGCTAAAATACTTACACCGCGTTTTCTGGCATATTGTTGCACGCTGTCAAATTCATTATTGGAAATACAAATAAAATGTATCAATCTAGAGGAATGATATTTTCGTATGAATTCATCGGATGGATACTCAACTTCTTCAGGATTCTCGATTACTTGGAGCTCTTCTCTCTTAAATGATCGATGTGGATTACGACCCATCAAATGAGTTGTAAATTCGATTGGTCTGTTTTCGAGATAATATAAAACGGGTTGAGGTGGATTTTTGTCAACAGTGACTTTCCTGATCTTATATATACGCAATTAGAAGTATGGATCAGTTTTTCTATGCATATGTCCTCCTTCTAACTCATTTGGTTTTAATAAATACCTTACAACTGTTCCTTTCCGTAGTTGCAGTTCATCCTTTCTGATAGGCCTTTTATATTTGGTAGATTCTTTAGGTATTACTTCTTTCAATGTCATAGTATGGACCGGGTTCATACCGATTAATCACGTTTTATTATTATTCATATAGTTAATAATTTTCTGAAGTATTTTATTTCATAATTTCGAACGTTCATCTTCTTTGAGCTTACCCTCAATGGCATATTGAATTTTATATATAAGTACGCTAAATCTTGTTTGAATTTTTTTACTAATGCTAAGCTTTCAAAGCTATAAAGGTCTACAACTTTTATAGAAACATTGTTCGCTCTATTCCTCATACAAATGCCCCTTTAAACTCACCAGCACTGTCTACCATTAACAATGCTGGCCACATAAGAGGATTTTGGAATCATTGTATATTTTTTCAATCGCATTCCAAGCTTCCAAACTACTCTTTGATGTCAATGCTACTGCACATTTAAATCTCGTTGCCACATCTATCAGTACCAAGGTGTGTAAATATATTTTTCCTCTTTCCTGATCGTCATAAACATGAAGTAACAGATCACATTGATGTAATTTGTTGGGAATTCGACATTTAGAAAAGCTAGCCCAAGCCTTAATTTTTGGTGGGTGTTTATATATTTGATAATCATACTGATTTTTTAACCACTTTGCAATATCTCGATCTTGGAACCAGTATCCTTCTTTTTTGCATGCCTTTTGTAAAGTTTTCACATTCAGATAAAACCCAGGAATGTTATAGTAGAGTAAACGGCAGACTAGAGCTACTTCG